TTCACTCCAGACAGAAACGCCGTGGCAGAGCTTGCAGAATCTGGACCCTGTTGATCGACAGCATAAGTCTTGACCAGAGCTGTCCAGGGAAACTCCTCCCAGCTCAACACATTCTCTTCACCAGTTTTCCCCTTCAGCTGTCCGTCTAAGATGCGTGAGGAGGTAACAGTCGTAATACCCATTCCATCTCCCATGAAGAGGATGGCGTTCTTAGCAGTGTTCGTGTTTGGTTTAACTCTTAAGTTGTCTTGGATTAGCTTCATGCCATCTTTGTACCACTTGTTGTTGTCTTGATTTTTTGAAATGTTGCCAACGACGACTAAGGATTCAAGGATACTTAGTTACCTCATGCAATCTAGACTACGAGCGGTCTTTCCCTTACAGCGAAGTCCGTCTCCCGAATAAAAAGATAAAAACAGCGAAAAAAAAAGTTTAATGCAAGCACGCCGCCTGGAACCCTAGGAGTAAAGAGAGTTGGCGTGCTAAAATCAATGTTTTTCTTTCGTCGCTGAATTTTTTTTGACTTGCGCTACGGATTTCGCCAAATGCAGGGACTTCTCGTAGTCTACATACAATCCTGTAACCTTGTTAAAATAGTCTTACGAAGAAGATGCACATCTATATATACTCCTTATTCGATTGTTTCATCTGTCAGGAATACGGACGGGTATTTTGCGCGTTGAGATACTTTTTCGAGTCCCGTAAAGGCGAGGAAAAATAAGAGTGGTGTGCAAAATTTCGGCCGTATTCTTAGTTAAATAATCGAATATGGGATTTGCTGTTCTTCTATTATTTAATTTCAGTTTGTGATATTTTGGCTTCTCAATATACAGTGTACAGTCGAACCTGTATAAAGCGGCACCCTGTGCTAAGGGGGGTAGCCAAAGTCCCGAATTTGTTTCCCCTTCTTATCACTGTAGTTTTTTGGTCGCGGTCACCTTCGAGTGAAACCCAACGACCTGTTTCTGTTGTTTACTACCTGTACTGAACGATCACTTAAATCGGAATTCAAATCAAACTAAGAAAAATCTTTCAGGTAAAATTTAATCCATATTTCTCTCCCGAAATCAATATTAGTAATATGTTTGAGCGCGTTTTTGTACATTAATGGTCTACTATGGCATAAAATGGCATTTTTTATGATGTTTTTTATTACACCCCTATTCTGTGGAACCTGTATTAAGCGGTCAACATTCCTATGGGTGACCGCTTAATACAGAATTGACTGCATTTAGGTCTTGGTTGTTTTTCAAACGTTAATTTATTTTCCGTATTAACTTATTTGTCCAAGTGAATCATTGGTTAATAAAGTAAAGTCTGAGCAAGAAATCACATTTACAGCTACTTCACATTACATCATGTAGCTGTCAGACAGTCTCGTGAAGCATTAATAGATTGTCGGAATCCGTGATTAGTACTTGCGCTATTCGACACCATCAGTTTATCGGTGGCCGGAAACATCAGAAATTAGAACACCAAGTCTTTTAATTTGTTTATGAATTACTATGATCACATGCACGACAGAGCGTACGTGTCAAAAAGGTGCTACTTTCACATCTTTTAGAACAATTGCCTTCTCTTTTAATGGCGGTTGCTTTTAGTTTATAACATAGTGATGTCGGTGATGAACACTGTAGCTTTTTATTTGTTTATGTGAGCGGGTGCGAACACGCGAGACCAGCAAAGAGCATAAATTAATCAAATAAAATATCACAGAATGGGAACTGCTTATAACTTTCTTTACATGCAAGGCGTACCGCTGTGCAAACGTCGTTAAGATACAACCACATGGTTATCAACGATTACATATGGCAGGAACCTACGTCTTCCATTGTGAAAATTTAGGTCTTACATTTCTCTTCCAGCCATGGAAATATACTGGTTTTCATTATCGACTGCAATAACTTCCGAATGCAGTTTTCAAGAATTTTCATAGTTTTAGAGACTAAATGGGTGTGACTGTTTGCAGCGCATAACGTGAATTAAAACGTTACGCTATTGATGCCGTACTTGAGTGGCGCAAATCTACGGCCTACTATGATTGAACTGTGGTGTTAAGAGCAATTTTCAAACTGAAACTTACCCAGTATGAAGCAAAGTATCAAATGTAAACGCAGCATATTCTTTTTAAGCTGTAACAATACTTGGTTGAGCACTTGGCACAGTATAAAAGTGCATGCGGTACCATTCAACGCCCCCTTTTTAATCAACAAAGGGAATAAGACGAGTAATAAGTTAAATATTTCATCCACCCGGGTAGGCGACGCCGGAAAATGGATTGCACGCGCTGACCGCAAGTAGCCCAAGGTCGCACAATAAGCTTTGTTAATGTTCGATCCGCTTAGCCGTACCGGAAATGGCATTAGGGCGACGGCAACGAGGACATGGAAAAACAAAAGATCTAATTATCAGAACAATAGCTCAGCGTTTTAAAACTTTGTACATTTCTTAGCCGTCCTATGCAAGACAACAACGTGAAATCACCACAATCTGCGTCGTCTGCGAACCGAAACCGCGACGGCAAATTATTTTAATTTCCATTTGGAACTCAGCGCTTCTTTTATACGTAATGCTAAAGTTGAGGTATAGCGCCTTATGAGACGGTAAACAAATGCAGGCATTCTAATTAAAGGCAGAAATTAATTTTTTTAATCAAAGTCTTCCTTGGCGTTGCCGTCCTGAACACCATTTAAGGTCATACATACGGTACGGTCGTACATACGATCGACCCTTAAGGCCAATATTTTTTTTTACACTTTTTCCAAGTCGAGTTTAACTTCACCGTTTTAAAAATAGTTTTCATGAACTAATTTTGTAAAATATTTAAACACGCGCCAGTTATTCGCAAAAACGTATTTTCGAACTGAATTCTTCAGTCTGCCGAAGTGTGAAGAGCCAATTATAACGTGTTACCATTATGACTCCAAAGATGTTTCTGGCGGCAAAACATCCCTGTTCGTGACTTTCAATAGCACAAGAATTTGATTTCAGTTGCACATGGTGAACTTCCCCATAATTTCTGGGTATCTAACCAGACTTTGAATAGGAAAGGATAAAAGAAGAACAATCCTTCTTTCAAACCCTAGAAGAAGCATGCTTGAAAGAGCCAGACATTTAATAAATTCGACGACGAATGGCGTAAAAATCTCTCCGAAACAGAGAAGGGCTCGTATCGCTGCTGCTACTGATCAGCGACCATCAACGGGCTCAAGACACTTAAACCTCGAAATCCAAATTGCCGGCAAGTGGAACTGATCTAAAGACTGTCACGCACACCTCCTTAATTGCTTCCCGCGACCCATGTTTTTGTTGATAATCTCCCACGATAAATCGTGTGGGGGAATTTCCTTTTTTCGCGATTAATCTCCTGTACTGGGCTCCGACGAAGGGCGTATCGGCTAAACTTGATGGGAAAATTGCAAACCAATCAATAGGAAATCGGTTGGCATGTACTAAAACAGAGACAATAGACGATTTTGTGACAGAACGTAATCACGAAATGTAGAATGTTCCGTCACAAAATCCGTCGTCCACCATCTACACGATAGTCTGCTATTGCAGCTGGGATGCTTGTCTGCGATGCAACCTCGTAGCTTATATACTTCATCCTTTTTAAACCCTTTAACTCCCAAGATCTCATTAGTAATTCTCATTACTGTCTGCCATAAGTTCTTGTGATGTTAGTTTGGAGAATTTGGTATTAGATCAACTTACAATCTCTTGATTAATATTTTTCTTTAAATAGCGAGCTTTGCGTCGGAAATAAAGTTTATGCAAATTAGCTGACTGCACATTGAACGTGCAGCCAGCTAATTTGCATAAGTAATTTAAGCCAAGGTTCGACGCCTCTTGGTGGCATAAGGTGTTCGCTAAACATTCCAGGACATCCGATAATCGCTTCAAAAAATGTAATTATGCTCCCCTTGAATGAAATGGAAAAAACCGCAACTTCCGATGATTACAATTCTAATCATTTTCAAGATGCAACTCTACTTTGTTCACTCATTTCCAGAAACAAGAGTCCAGAGAAATGTCTCATACCAACTTAACGGGTCTAATTCGAAAATACTTACGGTATGGTACGGTACGCTAAGCTTATTTTCTCTGAAGAGAAAATACATGTGTTAAAGAAGACAACAGTAAATCGTTAACACAAGGTCCACGAATATTCCTGACCA